AAGAACATGAAAATAAAGAATGACCGTGGATCAAGGTAATCAGTTAGCTGAAGAGTGGTGAGTAAAAAGATGAGATGTGGAGATCTCAGCAGTCAAATGATTGCCTGAGGTACTTAGGCTGAAAGATTGAAAGTAGTGGTTGTAGGTAGGAGGAGTGCATGAAACTGAGATTATAGAGGGATAGCAGTTACTGATGATATGGTCAAAGATATTACCATGGGAATAATCAGCTTAGGTAGGATGGAGACAAGATCTTTGGAGGACAAGAGGTCTAATACCCTGAAAACAGGGTATTAGAAAATGTGTGATTGCTCAGGATTGGATAGATAATAGCAGCAATTATCTAATGATTTATTTATATCAGTAATTAATAGAAGAGTGATGATGAGCTGAATTATTTTTGTGAAGGTCCTAGCCTTGTCTTAATAGTATCCCTGTCAAACAGTGATTGCTTAGCTGATGCATGCAGTTCATGCATCTTCATACTGTTAGTATTTTCCCAACTGTGGCCCAGAGGTCTGTGCTGCTCATTGCTCTTCTTCATGCCCATAAATATATTCCTAGATTACATGATCTTCTTTTATTTGAGCTTCCATGGCAAAGAGACTTAAATTCAACATTAGATGAAAAGCATCAGAGAAGAAAAAATCAGTAAATGACAGCCTTCAGGGTAATAGTAATGAAGTTTTTAACTTGAAAATTACTTGTGAATAGACTTCACAATCTCTAGAGTCACATGCAAATTACATGTTAATATAAATTTAGCTCAGCAAACAGTTTTATACAATTAGTTGAGACACATATTGTGCCTACTGCCTTATAAGTATGCATCACTATCTTTCACAGGTAAACACGTGAAATATACAGGTAAATAGAATTTTGGTGAGACAAATTATATTTTCTCATTTTTTCATAGTAATGTCACAAATGCTTCATCTCAGTTTAAACTGTTCCTAATTAAGAATGATAACAGCTTGTCTTACTAAGTATTTCTGTTTCCCCCCTAAGTGTTTCTATCAAATAATTAAATCAATACTTAAATGACCAGAAATTCTTATTTTAAAAAACCCAACAATAAATCATTTTAATGAGAAAAATCATTCTTGAGCCATGTAATTTTAAAGTTAAAATGGACAACAGAGATTATCTAGTTGGCTCATTTTACAAATGGGAAAATTTTGAGGACCAAAATAGAAATTTTAAAGAATTGGGCATGGCTTAAGAGGTGCAGCACTTGAGCTCTTACTGAACATGCACAAAGCCCTAGGTTCAATTCCCAGCACCATACTAAAGAACAAAAAAAGAAAGAAAGGGAGGGAGGAAGGGAGGGAGGGAAAGAATTTGCTACAGTTACTGGCACAGGTAGAACTCATACCCAGACCTTCAACATACTTTCCACTGTGCAATACCGGAATCTCATTTGTATGTTTGTAAATATGCATTATTCAATATTGAATTTTCTTTATTGTATCATGCTCCAACTAAGGCACATTGGTGAAAATTTCATAGTTACAACTAAAAGGGAGATCTCTTCATAAAACTATATACCTGAATGCTTCATTTAATATTTTGAATGGAGCCATGTTCAAACCTCATGTTTGAACATGAAAGAACATGAAAGGCACAGTACAAACTCTTCATTGAATCTAGATCTTACTTGGAGGCTTTGTCTTAGTATAGCCAAAGAAAAGGTAATTTGAAGTGTTAGAAAATTTGAGTTTTAAGTGAGAATTCTGTAACTTCATTTTTGTATAATCTTGGCTTCTGATCAGTTAGAATTTCCTCAGCCATAAAATAGGTAGTGACTATACTTACCTCACAAGATTATAGTAGTCATCAAATGTTAACTGTGATGCCAAATATTTTAAGTATTTACTATGCATCAGATACTTTATCAATTGATGTAACTAAAATCAGGAAGTCTTATTTAAAAAGATAACCCAAGAGCCCTGTTATCTATATATAAACTTTCACTTATCAACTAGTTATTTTAATTTCACATAATCATAATTTTATTTTTGTAACTTGACTTTTTATAGACAAAATCTTTTCTATTGCCCCAACTTTTATACTTGATATTTTAAAGATAAAAGTTAATAGTTCTAGTAATTGTTTTTCTATTCTTTATACTTTGATAGTTTTAAAGACACATTATAGAATCTCAAGGGAGATTTTAATTTGTCATTGAAAATTATGAAAATCAAGCAAAATAATACACATGATTCAAATGTGCTGTCTTTATAGCAGCTTTTAAATTCTTAGACAAAACTAAATTTTGTTAAATATTTAGAAACATTAAGAAACCAGAGTCATATTTATAGCTAGGATTCTTTCTTCCCAAATCCTGTTACTAGACTAATGAACACACACAGAGACACAGACAGACAGACACACATACACACATAGTAAATATCACCAAAATTAAAGAATTGTAATAACAAAACTAAAACTTCAAATGAAAATATTTATATTTAGCAACATGTGTGTATCATAAATATTAATACAAGGAAATATATGGTGGCTAATACTTAGCTTTTTATTATGAAAATCACAGAAATGATTTTTGTTAAAAAAAATTTAATCCTATGTGCCCAAAAATTAATATTCACAATTAATATACCTAAATGTATTGATTTTCCTCCATTTTATTTTAGCAAAAATGTTTATTTTCCTGGAGCTCTAGTTGAGAAATTTACTACTTACAAAACTCTAAACATTGCCCAGCTATGTCTTCTTTTTTTCTCACATGAAGGAACTTCCCTGTTCTGTACTTTAGATACTCAACAGAGTGAAGAGACAGTCTAAGGAATGGGAGAAGATATATGTCTGATAAGCAGTTAATACCCAAAATACAAGGAATTCAGGCAACTCAATTAGCAAGAAAACAACCTGATTAAAAAATGGACAAAGGACCTGAATGGACATTTCTCAAAAGAAGACATAACATGGACAATTGGCCTATGAAAGAAGATGTTCAATAACATTAATCAGCAGGGAAATTCATATTCAGATTACAATGAGATACCACCTTACCCATGTTAGAATGACTATTTTAAACAAAAGGTGAAAGTGTTAATGAAAATGTGTAGACAAAGAAAATATTGTAAATTATTAGAATATAAATTAGTACAACCATTTTAGAAAATAATATGGAGGTTCCTCAAAAGATTAAAAATATAACTACTGTATCTAACAATGCTACTTCTGAATATATTTCTGAAGGAAATGAAATTAGTATGTTCAAGGGACACCTGTTCTCCTGTGTTCATTGCAGCACTATTCACAGTAGCCAAGATGGAATAAACATGCTTACAAATAGATAGATGGAGAAAATGTGGTATACATACACACACACATACACTGGAATTCTATTTAACCTTGAAAAAGATGGAAATCCTGTTATTTGCAACAACATAGATGAAACTGGAGGACATTATGCTAATTGAAATAAGCCCGACAAAAATACTGCAGAATCCCATGTCATTATTACTGTTTTTATATGAAATAATAATGGTCTTAGGTAGATATGTTCTTGGTAGGTTAGGAGGCACAGGGTAAATATAACCTCCTTAAACCCATGGTGACATTTATCAAATGATTGGCTGAAATTTATTTCATAATCTGGGACTTTGGAGCAGGTTAACTCCCTGGGCCAAGCTAATTGACCCAGATATGAATTACATGTACTGCATTCAAACAGTAGCACTGTGTTCTGAAGCTGAACTAGCTAGTGTGTGTTAAGATAGGAAATATTCACAAAATTGCCCTCGTGAAAGTGGAAAAATGTCCACGTGATCTACTGTGTTTTCACTGAAAATGGAGAAATAACTGCAGTGAGAAATCACCATGCTACCAAATCCTTCATTATCTGGAGCCACATTTGTTTTACACAGGACAGCATTCTTTTCTCTTGGTTTTCTTTTTCTTTCTTCAAGACAGCAGCTGTTTAGTAACACTATATGTAACACTGTATTTGCTGACCCACCTACAATTTGTTTTGTACACTAAGCCATCTGCTACATTTCATAACTTTTTGTGTTCTTTACTGATATATGCATGCTTCCAGTTATAGTTCATTCTTTTTTAGGGCATTTTTCTGCCAGTGTGATTGCTTTAGTTAGGATCACAGTAAAGCAAATACTTTTGTATTTTAAGTCACACACAGCTTTTGTAGCCTCAGACACATGAGTATCTATGGAGGAGCTATGCTCCAGAATCTCATTATCTTGGCAGTTAGTGTTCAGCAATAACACATAGTTTGTTCATTTGTAAATGCTCTAGAATACCTCAAATATTATTTTTCAAAGTCCAGTGTATCTCAAAAAAGATTTTACTGTTTTAAAATAGTGACATTAATGCTTGTATTCAAATGGGAAATAATTTAGGTCATCTTAAATTCATACATGTATTTTGCTGTCTTAACAAAGGAAGTAGATAAACAGGAAATTGAATACAGATTATACTCATCTGTCTGTGTGTCTTAAAAGATCAAGTTTTAAAATTACTATTATTTTAGCAGCTTTTTCTAAGAAAATTAAAACTTTGATGGAAGATGAACTCAGGTGATCAGGACATTGATTCAGGTGTAGTTGGCATAGCAGTTCATTAACTATGTGTTAATTATGTATGGTTACTCCTGAAAAGCTATGGTGGCTTCATCTTTTAGGTTGCTTCATTAAATCATTAATTTTCTTGGAGGCTACTAAGCCTGACATAATTAAGTCATTTCAGTCTCCACAGATTTTTATCTTCCCTTGATGTTAAGAACACTGAGCAATTTAATATAAACTGCTATAACTTACTCCCTTAATGTATTGACTTTACATTTACAAATTATCTAATTTACTAATTATTGAATTACTAATTTGACACATTTCATTTTATATTTAAATGTAGTAAATAAAATAAATTTTTTAATTATTTGCTTAAAGTTTTAGCATATATTTTTACTTCCTGTGTAATAAGCCCATCTGTGTATTTGAACCACTTCTTACCAACAGTTCTTTGACCCATGGCTACATAAAGCTGCTTCAGTTTATTCAGAACATCATTTATGAGGAAGGATTTGATGGATCCAATCCCCAGGTATTTCATACTTTCAAAGCCTTTTATAGTATATAATGTTATTTTCAAATTCACTAGGGGCAGACCCTGAAAGTCTTAGAAGAATCAACAGTGAGCAGTGAGCAAGCTGTTTTCAAGCACAGTATAAATAAGCAGAGACGGGTAGCCTTAATTTTGACTGTTAATATGTATTTAGAGTTTAAATTTTTCATGTTTCTGTCATTCAGCCCTTAATTTCAAATTGCCTCATGTAAGAACTATCACAAGATTTTATTTCTTATTACATTATGATTTGAGTTGTTCCAAAAGATATAAGATACATTTTATTTCCTACCTTACAATACTTTATAGATTAACTATTCTTTGTAGATCTAATTTTAAAAGCATTCTCCAAATTCCCAGTAATAAAGATAGTCCAGCTAGTTTACCTTAAACAAAATGAAGGAAACTTTATTTCTAAATATCTTGCATTCAACACTATTTCTCAGTGACTCTAAGTGCATTTTCCACTAAAAGACTTACATTACACTTACATTATTGTACCAGAAGAATTCTTGAACTGCCATTATTGAAGACAGAGAAGCCAAAAATCTTATTTTTAACATTCTCAGCTATATTTGCTGTTAATTCATAGATTCTTAAGTATTGCTGTAAATTCCACTGCTGTATTTAACAGTTTCTCCATGACAAAATAAATAATTTTTAATTCATTTTTCAATTTAATAACAAGTTGGAAATACTTATGTATTTGGTTAGAGCATATTTATTTATAGACAGTTTTCCATATATGTCACAGTTTTGTGATGGTCTTTAATATTTAATGCAATTTTATTTTGCTCATTGTTGCTCCATTCTTGGTCCTAGCTAAGATTTATGGGTACCATGTCTTCCCTTTGGTGCCAGTACTTGTCTGGAGAGGCAAATTGGTCCCTGACAGACACTTCTTCCCACTTGGCTATGGTAACTATGGAAACAGACATGTCATAACAGTTCCTGTGGTACAGTGTGCAGAGCTGCTTGCAGGATGATGACATATCTTCTGAGAGCAAGAAATTTTATAGAATACAAAAAAAAAAAGGCAAGAGCAAAAGGGGTGTGTAAACATACACACAATATGGTATACATCCCAAGAATCCTTAGTAAGTAAGCTAGTAGTTGGACAGAGTGAAATTTTTGTTTTCTTTAATTGTTTATTTGGGTATGAAGAAAACACCATTTTCAATACACAATAATTTTTTCATGAAAATTGATAGACAGCAAACTGGAACTGCTGGGGTTCTCTAACCAACAGATTCTATAACTTGACTCTCATAAAGATTGAACAGGGTTGAGGTAGACATTTCTATCTCTGAATACCAAGATTGCTTAAAAATTTTATGTTAAAACTACCAATGGGTTATTACAAAAATACAATTCTAATTTTATTAGAAATAAAAAATAGTTAACAAATTTCTATATCATTAGTTTGTTGTTTGCTATACATCTGTCTCAGAAACTTTAGTTGAATTCAGGAAGACATAAAAATGCATATAACAGGCATTACTTTGAAAAATATTCCCAAGTCAAAATAATGTTCAGACACTGAAATAAATCCTAATTTTTAAAAAGAAATTTTTATCTTACTTTCTCTATCACTGCTTTTTCAAATAAACTGAACTAATTGGAGACAACAAAAATACACTCTAAGGAACAGAATGTTATAACCTGCTTTATAATTAACCTTGGCAGTAAGTTCAATAGTGCATCTGTAAAGATATTTGAGGGGTACATATTTACAAATTTGCTGTCATAATTTCATTTGTTTTTAAGTTTTGATTTTTCAGATGTCTAGGAAATACAAAAATGAAATTTGAGCATTGGTTTTACTTAGAATACTAGACTGAATGCTATATATTCTCATGGGAATAAATTCATTTATTGTACAGCTGTCAGCAAAAGTAAATCTAACCATGCCACAAAGCATGTCCATTACTTATATATATATAGCAAAGGAATTATATGTCCCAAATGACACAGGAGATTTGTAAGTCAGCTTATGTTTTTGCAATTGCCATCATAATTTTAAAAAATATAAATGTATTTTCTTTGTTGAAGTATTATGCTCAATTATGTGCTATTGTGCTATATGTACCTACTGATTTAAATATCTTATCACTCATTCATTCTTGCACTCAATGTTTTCATTCTGTCAAAGTCACTAAACCTCCACAGTTCTCCTTATTCCATGTCTAACAGCATTTTTGTTCATACTTTTATCAAGTACTTTTTAATACAGTAGTAGGTAGTGGTGACTGTAGGTTAAAATACTTCTAGTCTTTAGTTTCTGAATGTTGACAGGGGAAACAATAAAGTGCAGCTCTCCTTTTACCTTCACATTTCATTCTGATTTATTTATTTAGATAAGGTTCTTGAAATCTTCAGAAAGATTGCTCTTTCTATTGGGAATCTAATTAAGCTTGTTATGAGATAGGTTTAGGGATAACAAATGAGCCTTAAATTTTTGCCATTTTACACAGATCTTGACGTTACAAATAATTTTTTAAAGGAATACCCTCACATGTTTCATGCATATCTTAGACAAATTTTCCAGAATCATATTTATACATCTAACATTTTCCCTGGTGCATCCTTCATTTCATTCAAGAAATGCAGAAGCAAAACTAAACAATTTTATGGACCATTGAGATGATAACATAGGGTATCTTAGTTGGTTGACTATCATAACTTTAAAACAATCTGAAAAGAAAATTGGACCAGCTTCGTTGATAGCGTCATCTTATTTCAAGTCCTTGACATCAAGAATTTTTTTCCAATATGCTTATTCAGTAAATTCCTTTTACTATAATTTCATTCTTACAGTTCATACAGACCACTATGTCCTCTCTTATATTTGAAGAACTATATGAAATTAAAGAAGATTGTTCTGTCCTGTCTGCTTAATTTTAGAGATAGAAAAACTAAGGATTATGGAATATATAGTCATCCCTCTGTTCCACATCCACTGATGCAGCCAACTGCAAATTGAAAATAGTTGAAAAAAATTTCAGCTATACTGAATATATGCAGATTGTTTCCTTATCCTTAGCCTCTAAACAATACAATATAACCACTGTTTACATAGTGTTTACATTGTATTTGACATTATTAACCTAGAGATGATTTAACATATACAGGCAAATGTGTGTAGGTTTTATGCAAATACTATGTCATTTTATATAAGGAATGTGGACATACACAAATATTTGGTATCCATGGGAGTCTCTGGAATCAGTCCCACTGGATACTGAGATAACTATGTGTTCCCTGAAATCATACATCTACTTAGTTACATAGTCTACACTGTAAGTCTCTATATTAATCATCTTACCTAACTTTTATTCCTTTATGTTTTCCTCTTCTGACATTTCAGTGTTTTATTCTTTTTCCCTACTTTTCTTTCTCAATAAATTCTGCTTGAAAAAAACCCACTAATTCAGTTTCCATTTGCAGTATCAGGACAGTAGATATACTATATTGCACAATAATTAATTGTTAAACAAATCTTATAAGTCATATTTTATAGCAACAGTGAGTGACACATTTTTGAGCCTTGTTTCATCAGAAATCACATTTAAACTGCCACGTATCCCAAATCATGTAGTTAAGAAAGAACATCTTATGTTTTCCATCAGAATTATAATGATTTCCTAAATGTTTGCATGTGCCAGAGTTTGTTAACACCTCTTGCTTTTGCCCAGAAATTTTGCTAGATTGCATAGAAAAGCATTTACAAACATTTACAAAACATTTATTCACTTAGAATAACCCAAGCAGCAGTGTTTGTTATAAATACGTATGTTTGCAAACTCTTAGTCATCCTAGCTTTTCTTTAATGAGTTTGCAAACTCTTTCATTCTAGCTTTTCTTTAATGACGTGTAAATATTCTTTTCCCTAGAAATATCACTGTTATTTTGACCTTACTGTCAGTAACTTAATGTTCTGAATGTTTACCTGTTAAGTTTCATAAAAAAATGTTGAAGTTAAATTATAAGATCAGCTTCAAGAGGAAAAACTAGAGGTAAGTATAAGATGTAAAACCAAAAGATTATACATCTTAAATGTCCTTCAAATAAACAATCAGGGAGTAGGTGAAATCAAATTAAATGAGAATAGTGAGCAACTTAGAGTTTATTGAAAGACCTGTGGCATTTTCTCATACTGACCATGGGTTGGCAAGCATTCACATTTAGATTTTTCTCTATCTCTATTATTATCAGTTTAAATCTTAGGCGCATCATACCATGCATATTTTGTAAGACCGAAAAAAATCCAATTTTGTTTGTTTGTTTAGAGATAGGTTCTTGTTTGTAGGCTGGCCTTAAACTCCTGTATACAAGCGATCCTCCTTCCCCAGTCTCCTAAATAGCTGGGACTTCAGGCATGCCACCATACCTGACTTAGTTCTGTTATTTTTTTATATTCTTATATCTAAAAGATTTTGTATGCTGCCTAATTACTAATACTACATAATTTTTTACCACATCTATTAACACTAAAGAGGTGTACTATTAATTAACAAAACCTTGTTTACCTCATTCCCACTTTCTTTTAGAAAAAACAGAAAAACATTTTAAGAATAGGAATTCAGAGCCTTGGCTCACCCTTATGGGGAGATGACATTTGCTGTACAGAAAACTGTGACAACAGTCACAGCCTTACCAAGTTCCTCTATGTTCTCCGTGGTCTTTTAAGAACCTCTCTGTCAGCCTGCATCATCACAATGCCCACACATCTTATCCAGGTAAGACTTCAAAAATTACCTTCCCTTACTAGTGAAAAAATGGTTTTAATTTCCATTTCCTTGGTTTCTAATGATATTAGCCATATTTTCATGTACATTTTGCCATTTGAATTTTTTCTGTGGCCTACACTTTTGTCCATTTTTATTGGATAATTTCCTCATTATCAAGTTGTAAAAATTCTTATGTATTTTAACTATAATTTGGAATATTTTCCTTCTAGTCTATGACTTACCTTGTCTTAATAGTGTCTTTTGCAGAGCAAAGCTTTAAATCTTGATGAAGTTATCAGTTTATAAAATGGTTAATGGTTTCGATTCCTTACCCTTCAGTATTACCATTCTTTGCCCTCTCCAAGATCTTTTTCATTTTTTTCCTAGATGATTTATAGTTGTTATATCTTATGCTAATGGATTAAAGTATCCCTATTTTAATTTTTACATAATTTTAATTCATGTTCTCAAACAGCTTTTGGTTTCTTTAACGTTCTAATTATCTAGTAACTGAATATAGCGAGGATTGACTCATTCTCTTTTTATTAATAGTACTATTTACTAAACTACTTATTGTCTGCTTCAAACATGATTTCATATCATCTTAAATAACTAACACATTATAGTCTTTATGAAGGCAGGGCCAGACATTTATATTTTTCTTTATATGTGGTTTTATTATAATATTATTATTATATATAATATATATAATATATATATAATATATATTATATATAATATATTATATATTATATATTATTATAATGTAATAGTAAATTTGACATAAAACATTCTTAGTACAGTACCTAGGTTTTGCCTAGATGTTCAATTAATGTGAATCAAATGAATATTGATTGTTACTTAAAAATTATTTCTAAAGCCTAATTGTTTGAACTACTTATGTGATTTTAATATATTTGTTCTAACATATCCAGACTCTCCCTTTACTAAAATAACATTTAGTTACATTAATTATGTACATATAATATATACAGCATATTTCAAGACTACTAAAAGTTTGATATATATAGTAAGTGAATTTTAGCTCCTTGGCCAATAGAATTTTTTTTTAGTAGTCATGAGAGGATAACTCCAGTTTTCTTTAAGACCTTTTTGCATGTTATTCCTGAACCTCATTCCTGATCATCATTAAATCATGATGATCTTAAAATTGCATGAGTATCATAGAGAAACTTCTTTCACTATTCATATTGAACATGGTTCACAGGTTTGTATTATTTTCATTGTTGATAATGTTATTGTAAAGTTAGTTCTTTGGTAATTAATAATTTGGTTAGACTAGTAAGGTTCTTGATTCTGATGATAAATAAACCTGAAACAGACATACCAGATACTAGTGAAAGTACTAATAATTCTTCTACTACAGTTGCTGTTACTGCAACTATTTATGAGTCACACACTATAAGGCCAAACACTTTATGGGTTTTATGCCCTTAAATCTTTACTACAACCCTGTGAAATAGGTAGTTTTTACTCTGTTCCCACAAGGTTACCCTATTAATAAATTCAGGACTCCAACCACCACCATCTTCATAATTAGGTCTTGTAGCTTCTCAAATCAATACAAAATCCCCTGCAAGATAGCTGTGATGTCAAACTGAAGTTAAATGATTCTCTAATCTCACATATCCATTACATAGTGAATACTGGTATTCAAACTCAAATCTTTAACTCTAGAACTTAGATTCTTTTCCCCATCACAGTATATCCATGTATACCTTGAATTATTACCTATCTTTGATTATACTAACCTTCCACTAGGAAAAAAGTTCTCAGCTAACATTTGCTATTATTTAGTATTTTTAAAGATAAAACTATCATTGTAAAATTCTTAACAAATTAGGACATGTGAAAGATTAAGCAAAAATTCTAGACAAGGCAGAAAAATATGGTATATGTTGCCTTTTGCATCATTGCACATAAAGAAAAATAATTCTGAAGCCAGGCACAGTGGCTCAAGCCTATAATCCTAACTACTAGGATGGTGGAAATTGGGAGGATTATGGTTCAAAACCAGCCTGGGCAAAAAATCCTGGGAGACCCCCCCCCCACTCAAGCAATGGCTAGGCACAATGGTATGAGTCTACCATCCCAACTACACCTGTCATTCCAGACACACCTGTCATTCCAGCTATGGGGGGAAGCACATATAGGAGTATCACAGTCCAGGCCTCCCCAGCCCTACAGCAAGACCCTATCTCAAATACAGCCAACACAAGAAGCACTGGCAGCTTGTCTCAAATGGCAGAGTGCCTGCCTAAGTAGTGCAAGTGGTACAAGGCCCTAAGTTCAAACCCTACCATTGAAAAAGAAAGAAATGGAAAAACAATTATGAAATAAATATATACATATGAAAATTTTCAAATTTAATCCAAAGATACCGATGCAAAAAACTGTTTAAAGGAAAGTGAAAAGGAGAACACTTTTAAAATGCTGTTTTCTTGGTGATCATTTTTATCAGAGAAAGGTTCTAGCTTCATTGTATTTGTGACTGATACTATCAGGTGATGTCAAGTGACCCCATCTACACCATGAATCAAATAATGACTAAATGACATGGTGAACCGATGTCTGAACATGAAGCAACACTTTAATTTTGATACATTCTGGATATTTTAAGCCTGTGTATAGAGAAAGAAGATGATTTTAACGTACCAATAGACTTCTTTGAAATGAAAATAACAAAATATAAAGCCAGACTTTAATGATGTGTTTAAAGCTGAGCAGTGTAACCAAGTATTAAAACATGTTCCTCAGAAAACAGGACTGTAAAATAGATACAGGCTGTGGGGGAAGGGGATATGTGTGGGAGGGAGAAGAGTGAACAAAGAGTAAGGTGAGAGAATATGGTTGATGGACTTCATATACAAAAATAGAACAATGAAACCTCTTGCAATTGGTTTAAGTGAGTTTGGGAGTGGGTTGAGAGGGAGAGAGATGTTAAGGGCAATCTAACTGTTGTACAATGTAAGCCTATTCGGAATTGTCACAAATATATCCTAATTTTAAAAACTGTTCCTCAAGGTAGAAAATGTTTTTTAAAAAAACTGTATAGCCTTCTAACATTTTCTCATTTTTCATAATCTGCTCTAAACAATTTTTCAAAGGTATCATATAGTAGGCTTCTGACACTAATACCAATTAACCTATAAAAAACAAATTCCCATTTAAAATCATATATTTGTTTTTATATCAAAATATTTAGGAGAAAATATACAACTTGCCAATTTGACCAAATCACTCATATCAATAAGGGATAAAACTCCCAATAACTTATAAAAACTGTCAAGGGAAACAGGGTAAAGAAAGTGAAGAAGAATTGGAAGCAGTCTGCTCAGCAATCTAATTGGAGATATATGAATACATAAAACCAGAAGAGTATATTTAATAAAAACTTACATAATGATTACTTTGGGTCAGTTGCAGTCCTAAATTCTTTTCAAATATTAACTCATTTAATCCTTGCACTAACCCTCTGTGGTTGTTATTGGTATTATCTTTTCCCAAGATCACATAGCTAGTGGCTAGTGAATGGAAAAATTAGAACTAAGCAGTCTCCCTCTCATTCTGTACTCTTAATCACCATGAGTCTGTTATTCAGTAGACTCAAATTAAGGAAAAAATCAGGTACACAGTAGTATCCACTGATAGAAAAAATCTGTACTTTTGGAGATACAGTTACTCCATAAGTTACTAGGTCTTAGTCAACTCTGAAATTTCTCAGCCTCTTGATCTGTAAAAATGGGGCCAAAAATGGAAAATGTGGAGGATGAGCGATAACATACTGATCAGTGCTGGCTCATAGTAGACATTCAGGTATGTTAGCAGTTATCATCTGCACTATTTATTACTTAAACACACCTCTAAAATTGAGAGTTTGAACAGACTGCTTGACAAAAATTAAGCTGTAAAGTCTGTCAAAGCAAAGGAACTGGGTGTAGAGCTCAGTGGTAGAGCACATGTTTTCCTTTGGTTCAATTCCCAACATCAAACAGAGAGAGAGAAATCTTCAGTTTTGAGAAACACTGGCAGCTCTTCTAAAGGGTTAGGTATGAGACCAGAAGGGATAAACTTCCACATGTATAGATTCATGTTGTAACAGTTTTGGTTTTTTTCAACATTGTGTATCAATTTCCTTTTCTCTATCACCAGTGTCTGGAGACTATAAGTCAAAGTATAAGTGAATAGTGATGGAATGACTATGGGTAGTTGAGCTATTCCTTCATTTAGCAAATAGAACAGGCACTGTTTTAGGCACCCAAGAGGATATAACATTGGACACAACAAAGTCCACATTCCCAGGGAGCTCTTCTAGCAATATAAAAGACAGAAAAGGGGTGTGTGTGTGTGTGTGTGTGTGTGTGTGTGTGTGTGTGTGTTTTAACAATTCAGTGTTGATAATAAAGTAGTTTCTGTCAGGAAATAGTGGTGTAGTTTGAAATCCTTGGAAATTGTGTCATATAATTAAACATTTATAGATAAAGTAACCTTAGATTAAAAGTATATACAATATCTTCATCTCTTAGAGTGGTAAACCAGCCAATCAATGTTCTTATTTTAGTTATTAGCATTCTGTCAGACTTGTACAGAAATGATTAGTTACCCTTTATTGTACTTTTGGCGTGCTTCCCATGTTTAATTTCATTGTGGGGAAGGAACACATAGTTAAGGAAATTGCAAAGGGGGGAAAAGTTAAAATAGGGAAAATAATGACATAGATTCAAAACTGCTTTCAACTTATTGTAAGACTTTTGTAAGCAGAGAAAATAAGAATGACTTTTCAATTTGCATTTAAAATATTTTGTGTTCAGCTTCACAACTTTGAACTTGAAATTTTTTATTTCCTTGGGGTTAAAAAAAGTTATTTCCGTAACATCACAGGAGAAAATGACAAACATACTTTGAAGCAAATTTGTAAAAATAAATTCTAAGTATCTGTTAAGAAAACACTGAAATTATAACATGAATATAACATGAATGTCTTAAAA